AGTGGCCTGATCTTTCCCCAACCAAAAATAAGACTTCTCTACACTCCAGCTGTGTGATTTTGTTGACTTTGAAGACAGTCATCAGAGAATGAGTAACACCAGTCTTTCCATTTCAAGGTCTCTGAATTCTTTCCTTTTGGCCTTCACTTCAGAGGCATCCAAGAACAATACACATCCCAATTATCCCCTGGGCTCCTGGGCCAAATCTACACAGTATTCCATTTTAGGAAATGGGCTTCTCCAGGTCTTTTCTCTGCTTTTTCTCCTGCTTAGACATATTTGCCCAATTAGAAGAGATAATAAAAACATTTACATATATTTGTCTGGCATGGTTCACACATGGACAAACAAGTCTTCTTGATTAAATAACAAAGCACCAGGTACGGAAATGTCCTTATCCAGGTCATTTTCCCTAGCTTCTGCAACAGAGTCTGCACAGGAACTTTTGCCATTGTCCCAGTCAGTTAACAGAGCCATTTGATACAACTGAATAATAAGATTTCAGAGCCAGCTAATTATGTGCAGAATAAACGGAAGGTTGTGCTAAATTTCGTATTATAACACAATTGCCAACAAATAATATTTATCTCTCAGGAAAGACTGGGGGTAGTGGGAAGCGGGAAATGAGGAAAGAGAGAGAAGGGTGCACATGAGTCAATCTTTGGAAAAGTCTGAATAAATAATAATCAAACTAATGGCAACTAGAAGGAAACACCCTAATGATTCTGGACTAGTAAAGCCTTAGAACAAACATAAATAGAGTTTTAAGATTTCAAATTTTAAGACAGACCTTCCAAACTAAACACACACACACACACACACAGAGATAGAGAGAGAGAGAGAGAGAGTTTCTATTTTGTTAGTCCTAGAGCAGCAACAAGAATCAATGAATCCATAGGGGACAGATATGACTATAACAGAGAGTGAGAGAATCTCCACTTGATAATAAAAATCAAGGTGCTTATTTGGAAGTCCAATGGTAGAAGTCAGGTTTCCTCCTTTGGCACTGTGGTTTAGAAGAAACAACGCACTTCAGATTCGGTCTCTGCCATACTAATTGCTAGTAGAAGACTCGGGCAAGTCACTTAATTTCTTAGTAAGAGATATATTATGTATAAAATGGAGATGATATTAAACTTCATTGACCACTGTGGAGAATTAAATGAGATAAGTTCTAAGAAGGCATTGCATGGATTTAAATATATGCAATGTTAATAACACAAGAAATTCAAATCTTATACATGCATATACCATTGGTGAAAATACAATATACTCTTTATAAACCTTCTTAAGACAATTTATATAAAAGGTAATAAGCTTCTTATACCATTCAGCCATGTCATAGGTAAGTCAGTACTCAGGGATCAGAGAAAGAGCTGCAGGAAATATGTCACCAGACCATTCCGCAGGGCAGCCTCTAAAACCTTGCCCATGGCTAGCACTCCAAATCACTCAAATATCTAATGTGGTTGCTGACTGCATCCCACGACAATCTTTAGCCTATTATAATATCATTACAATAAAATCACTATGGCTGACACTCCCACTTCCAGCATGCACCTGACACCACGGCACTTCCAAGACTTCTGAAAAAGGCCGGAAAATGGGCAGTAACCAATTATCTGGAAATTTCTGCCCTTTCCTGGAAAGCACCATCCTCTATTCCTCCAGATCACATAAAACGATGATTCTAAACCTCATGTGTTACAGCTCACTCAGAGAATGCCTACAGTCCAATCTTTTTTTTTTTAAGTTTTATTTGATGAAAATAAATTTCCAAAGTACAGCTTATGGATTACAATGGCTTCCCCCCATAACTTCCCTCCCACCTGCAACCCTCCCCTTTCCCACTCCCTCTCCCCTTCCATTCACATCAAGATTCATTTTCAATTCTCTTTCTATACAGAAGATCAGTTTAGCATATATTAAGTAAATATTTCAACAGTTTGCTCCCACACAGAAACATAAAGTGTTAAGTACTGTTTGAGTACTAGTTATAGCATTAAATCAAAATGTACAGCACATTAAGGACAGAGATCCTACATGAGGAGTAAGTGCACAGTGACTCCTGTTGTTGACTTAACAAATTGACACTCTTGTTTATGGCATCAGTAATCACCCTAGGCTCTTGTCATGAGCTGCCAAGGCTATGGAAGCCCCCTGAGTTCACCGACTCTGATCATATTTAGACAAGGCCATAGGCAAAGTGGAAGTTCTCTCCTCCCTTCAGAGAAAGGTACCTCCTTCTTTGATGACCTGTTCTTTCCACTGGGATCTCACTCATGGAGATCTTTCATTTAGTTTTTGTTTTGTTTTGTTTTGTTTTGTTTTGTTTTTTTTCCAGAGTGTCTTGGCTTTCCATGCCTAAAATACTCTCATGGGCTTTTCAGCCAGATCCGCATGCCTTAAGGGCTGATTCTGAGGCCAGAGTGGTGTTTAGGACATTTGCCATTCTATGGGTCTGCTGTGTATCTCACTTCCCATGTTGGATCATTCTCTCCCTTTTTTATTCTATCAGCTAGTATTTGCAGACACTAGTCTTCTTTCTGTGATCCCTTTGGTTCTTAGTCCTATCATTATGATCAATTGTGAACAGAAATTGATCCCTGGGACTAGTGAGATGGCATTGGTACATGCCACCTCGATGGGATTGAACTGGAATCCCCTGGTATGTTTCTAACTCTACCGTTTGAGGTAAGTCAGCTTGAGCATGTCCCGAATTGCACATCTCTTCCCTCTCTTATTCCCACTCATATTTAACAGGGATCACTTTTCAGTTAAGTTTCAGCACTTAAGAAGAATTGTGTATTGATTACAGTATTCAACCAAAAGTATTAAGTAGAACAAACAAAAAAAATACTAAGAGGGATAACGTATTAAGCTGCTCATCAACAGTCAGGGCAAGGACTGATCAAGTCACCGTTTCTCATAGTGTTCATTTCACTTTAACAGGTTTCCTTTTTGGTGCTCAGTTAGTTGTCACCAATCAGGGAGAACATATGATATTTGTCCCTTTGGGATTGGCTTATTTCACTCAGCATCATGTTTTTCAAATTCCTAACAGGGATCACAGTCCAATCTTGAGTGTGTGCTTTAGCTGTGTATCATCCTTGAATTCCTTTGTGCATGCAAAGCTGCTCCAAACAGATAAGTTTAAATATACAAATTTATTCTAAAAAATAATCAGGTTCAGATAATACTTTATTCCTAAATGTAAGAGAGTACTTCCAAAAGTTTGTGGGAAGATGGAATTTAAAAACTAACTAATTTTGGTGCAAAAGAATTAAAGTTAAATCCATGCATAGGTTTTTTTTTTCCCTATTATGAACTTTCCATTAACTTTTTGATGACCTGGCATATCGCATTGGGATTCTGGTTGGCATTTCCCTGACCATTAGTGATTTTGAGCATTTTTTCATTTACTCATTTTTTCATCTTTAATTGGATTATTTTTTTGTTGGTAGTGGTGTTACTGTTGTTGATTTTTTGAGTTGTTTGAGTTTCATGTATATGCTAGAAATTAATCCTTTGACAGATGAACAGTTTGCAAATATTTTTCTCATATTCTGTGGATTGTCTCTTCACTCTGCTTAGCATCTCCTCTGCCATAAAGAAACCTTTTAACTTGACACAGTCCCATTTGTTAATTTTTGCTTTTGTTGCCTATGCATTTGGGGTCATATACAAAAACTCTTTGTCCAGTGAGTATCTGGAAGCATTTCCCTTATATTTTTTATTAGTTTCAAAAATTCTAGTAACAGGATTAAGATTCTGTCTGTTCTTTTAAACTATCCTAAGTGATGGGCACATGCTGATATCACATGCTAATCCACCTCAGTCAAGGTTTTTCTGTGTTGTGTAACTGGTCTAGGTAATAAAGTTTTATGAATCTCAAAGTATTTGATCCATTTCAAGTTGATTATTGTATATGATGACAAATGGAGGTCTAACATGTTCAGCATCATTTATTGACAAGCATTTCCTTTCTCTTTTTCATTGTTAAAATCAGTTGGCTGTGAATCCATGTATTTATCTTTGGGTTATCTATTTTATTCAATTTGTCTACATGTTTATTTTTATGTCAATATAATACTGTTTTGATTATTATAGCTTTGTAGTATGTTGAAGTCAGGTATAATAATGTCCTCAGCTCTCTTCTTGCCCAGGATTGCTTTGGCTACTTCAGGTTTTTGTGGTTCTGCATGAGTTTTGTGCTTTTTTTTCTAGTTCTGTAAAGAACATTTTTTGGTTTCAATGGGGAATACACTGAATTTGTAGAACACTTTGGGTAGTATGGGCATTTTAACACTACTAATTCTTACAGTCCATGGACACAGGATGTCTTTCTATTATTTTGTGTCCACTTTCATATTTTCCTTCAGTACTTTGTAGTTTTTATTATAAAGGTCATTCTTTTCCTTGGATAAACTTATCCCTACTATTTGTTTTAACTCCTGTGAGTTGGATTGCTTTTTTAAATTATTTGTTAGCAATTTAATTACTGCTGTATAAAAAGGCTATTGACTTCTGTATGTTGAGTTTATATCCTGTGATTTTATTGAAATCATCTATGAATTCTAACAATTTTGTGGAGTCAGTTTTTTCTATGTTTAAAATCATGTTATCTGAAAACAAGAATAATTTGACCTTCTTTCCAATTTAGATGCCCTTTTTTGTCTTGTGTAATTTTTGTGGATATTTCCAATATAATATTGAATAAGAGTAGTGAAGATAGACTTGTCTTGCTGATGATATTAAATAGCATTATTTTATCTTTTCATTGTTCAGTATGATGTAGTCTGCAGTTTTGTCACATATTGCCCTTATTCTTCTGAGGTTCATTTCCTCTGTATCTAAGTTTTAAAAAGTGCTTTTCATTTTTAAAGATGAACAAATAAACAAATATCATGTATATCATATATACAGATATAGGGACATAGGATACTTCCCACCCTCCTTCTTCCTTCTTATGCTGCCACCCTCCCTCCTCCTTCCTTTCCCATTCCTTCCATTAATTTTTACAATGATTTACTCTCAGTCTGTTTTATATGCATAAGATTAATCCTACAGTAAGTAAAGAATCCAACAATTAGCAAAAAGAAAAAAAAAAAAAAACATGATTCCTCAACAGTAATGACAAGGGATGTAAATAGTCATCGAATCTCAAAATGTCAATTTCAATCATATACATTACATTTTTGATATTCTATTAGCTATCAGTGAAAACATATTGTATTTGTTCTTTTGGAACTGGTTTATTTCACTGAGTATAATGGTTTCCAGTTGCATCCGTTTTGTTGCAAAAGACAAGATTTCATTCTCTTTATGGCTGAGTAGTATTCCATTATATATATATTTTTTTCAATTCTCTATCCAGTCATATGTATATTTCAATTTCTTTATCCATTCGTCAGTTGATGGACATTTAGATTACTCAATATCTTACCTATTGTGAAGTGAGCTGCAATAAGCATAGCGGTACAGATAACTCTTTCATATACTGATTTCATTTCATTTGGGTGAATTCCCAGGAGTGGAATGGCTGGGTCATATGGTATATCTATTTTCAGCTTTCTGAGATATCCTCATACTATCTTCCACAATGGTGTGCTAGTTTACATTCTTACCAACAGTGTACTGGCGTACCTTTTTCCCCAAATCCTTGCCAGCATTTATTGTTTGTTGATTTCTGTATGAAAGCCATTCTAACTGGGGTGAAGTGAAACCTTAGCACCGTGGTTTTTACTTGCATTTCCCTGATGACTAATGATCTTGAGCAATTTTTCATGTGTCTGTTGGCCAATGAATTTCCACTCTTGAAAAACGCCTGTTCAAGTCCTTTTCCCATTCATTTCTTAACTGGACTTTTATTTTTGTTGTTGTTGTTGAGTTTCTTGAGCTCCCCATGAGTCACCTCATTAAGACAAAACAAAAAAAAAGTTCCTTTCTCCTGGGACTTTCCCAGGGAATGAGATCCTCAAGTCAAGAATAGAGTACAAACAGTAAAATATATTTTTCAATATGAATCACAATATCACACTGGTCTCTAAAAACTGATCTTTTATAGACATTTTGAAAATAGGGCGATAGGAGCCAAGTGTATCTCGAGTGCTTTTCAAGGGTTTGGAATTTATGTGAAATTTCTCTATTTTTTTAAATGTAAGAATTCAAACGTAAAACACTGTGTGGGCTGATACTATGAGAGCCAAACTAAACACACTGAGGCCAGATCCAAGCAGCAGGCTGCCAGTTTGCTACCTCTGGATGAGAACCCAGAATAAGAACTTGTGTATTTCTGTTCTGCCATCACCTTTCTGCCACCCTCTTTTCTTCCAATAAACAGGTGAGTGTTGACAACATATGTGCTGATTCCTAAGCTGGTGAAGGCACATCAGTAGGATCATTTTCCTGTAAAGGGCTTTGTAACGAAAACAAAAAACAAAACAAAACAAAAAAATCTGAAGATCCTTTGGCTAGGGAAGCTCTTCTCTTCTTATTTAGTGTGGCCTATGCCCATTCTGAAGTGGGCAGGAAAGGAGCAACTGGATGAAGAAGGACAGAATTCTCCAGGCAAAATAAGATTGAGGCGATCTTTGTCCTCAGCGGCGGAAGCTTGGACAATTCCTCAAATTGCCTGAACCTCTCTATTTGGGTTTTTAGGTCATGCAGAAAGGGAGATTACTCTTCCTTCCAACATGAAATAAGAAGTATGCCTTCAGCTCAAGGAAGCTGCGATATTGTGATGAACAAATGTACATGCAGGAGCTGAATGATGCCAAGGATCTGTAATCCCAAAGGTACAGAGGCTCCCTGTGATTCCCTTGTCATCTACCAAGGAGCTCCCAATATTACAGCTGGTACCACTCATGCCCTCAGATTTGAAAAGAGAATTTGGAATTATAGCTTGAAGTGGGCACAAAACTCCAACTGCAAAATAATATCTCTTCCAGATATCCTAAATTTTAATTTGGCTTTCAACTCAAAGGGTGTGAGTGGGGGGACAAACAAGAAAATTCTAATAAAATTTCCAGCTAGATACCCGAAAAGTTACATGGAAAAGCAAAAGTCTTCCATAATTTGCACAGAAGGTCTTTAGCATAATCAATATTGATTTTCCAGAAGGACCAACAGAGTAAATAGAAAGACAAATAAACGCCTATTAATAGGTTAAATTGATGTTTGTTAGCAGAAAGTTACACATGCCCTCTTGGTGTCAGAGGTAAATGTCAATGTGATTAAACATCTACAGAACACGCTATGAGATTATCAAAGTGGTATTAGCCATTATCTGGGCATTTACGAACTTTTGCAACTGGAATCCTTGCTACCTTTTGTGGAGTTTCATAAATGATAGGCTTGCTGCTGAGATGGGAGGTTTTTTGTTTGTTTGTTTGTTTGTTTTTCTGTATCCCTATTTTGTTTGTGGGGAGGTCTATGAGTACACATTCACCTTAATACTTCCCTTTATTACCAGGTGCACATTACCCCAAAGCACATGTAGTTTAGCACATAGGTTGTTTTACACTTTGCATACTTGTCAGACCTTTACATGAGACTGTCTTTAAAAAGCTCACAACCTAAGTATAGTTCCTATTTATGTTGTGGTTTCAGTAAATGAAAGGGCTATATTAATACTTCTGAAGTCTCTAATTCTAAAATGTATTTTTCCCTGGATCTTTTAGCCAGGTTTGCAATGGCCTCTGCCTTCATTTTTCATTTTCTCAGGCAAAGCATGCAGCAAGAAACACATGCCTGACCCTGGAGGGTGCTCAGAACAGAGTGACACAGTTCAAAGGTCAGGGTTTTGGGTAGGCCATTTTTAGCAAAGAGGGAAGCATTCTACCTTGTCAGGTGGGTCCGCCATCTTTTCAGCCTACAATCCTGGAATCATTTCATGAACAATATCTCTCTTCTCACATGTTTTTGTCTTGAGAAAATACTTCATGTCACTGACAGCTTATTACTTTCAGGTTTGCTTTATTGTTGCTATTTGTGTTATAATCTCTTGCCATCTTTGAGGATTAATATGTCTGTGTTGAAATGTCATTAGTACCTAACTTGGTGAGAGAGGAAAGATTAAATGAATTAATAGGAAGGAAATATTAAAGGGTGAATTGGATAGACTACATAAGGATCTAGAAAGATCAACTGAGTAATTTTATTTATAATATGAGCTTTTTATTTTTTATTTAAACGGCTGAAAAATTTTAGGATCCTTTTTAAAAGTATTTATTCTTTATTTATTTGAAAAGCAGAATGAGAGAGAGGGAGAGACAGGGAGAGAAAGAGAGGTCTTCTATCTATTGGTTCACTCAAAAATAAAAATCACCCATGTTTAATATGTCCAGGTCAACTACCTTCAGGCTGGAAAGCTGCTGAAGTTTTCTGAATGTTTTAAACTGTTTTTACACAACTATTGGATTACTATACTTCTGCACTGAAAATAAGAATGTAATTTTTAGCCCTTATTTTAAAGCAATGTTTACATTTTTTCTTATGTTAAAATTATTGAGATTACATGAAAGACTTTTGAGATCATCAAAATTTTTTCTTTTTGTTAGCACATCTCTCTGCTATACCTTGGAAGATGATTTCAAAATGAACACAAAATCACATCTATTCAATAAATAGTTTACAAGTTTTCCTTAAGTAAATAAATAAATAAATAAATAAAAGGCATTTAGCCTAGCAGTTAAGATGCCTGTTAAAGCACCTGTCACCCCGCACTGTAGTACCTTGGTTCAATTCCCATGCCTGACCTCTGATTCCAGTTTACTGCTAAAATGAAGATCCTGGCACCAGTAATGGTGCAAGTAAGTGGATTCTTAATACCCTGTGGGAGACCTGAATTGAATTCTTAGCTCCCAACTTGGCCCAGAACCACATTGACTCTGGTCATTGCTGGCATTTGGGGAGTAAATTAGGAGATGGGTGCTCTCTCTCTCTTACACACACACTCTCTCAAATAAATTTTTAAAAATCAATAAAAAAAGTAATCATGCTAGTTACTTTGTATCTCCTGGATAAATACTGTTCCAAATTTCATTAATCAGATGTGTGAAATTCACATTCAATAGGATTATGAAAAGACTATTTTAGACTAAACAGGAATAACAAAAGAATCTTGGTATAATTCTAAAAACAAAGCACACATCAGAAACTTTCCAATGGAGGATGCTAAGTGTTAAAAAAAAAAGTAATTCTAATAATAAAGCTTATAGGAGAACATGCCACTTACGGGATGACAGAAACTGTACTGTTTCACATATTTTAGTCTTATTTAATCTTTAACTTCTACTTATTGACATATAATTGACGTGACATCAATCTACCCTTCATAGTATATAATCCAGTTCTTTCAGTATATTCACAATGTTGTACAATCACCTTCACAATCTAAACCCAGAACTTGATCATCACTCCAAATAGAAACCTCAGCACCTCACCCCAGTTAGAATGGCTTTCGTACAGAAATCAACAAACAGCAAATGCTGGCAAGGATGTGGGTAAGATACCCTAATCCACTGTTGGTGGAAATGGGAACTGGTAAAACCACTATGGAAGTCAGTGTGGAGATATCTCAGAAATCTGAATATCAACCTACCATATGACTCAGCCATCCCACTTCTGGTAATTTACCCAAGGGAAATGAAATCAGCAAATAAAAGAGTTATCTGCACCCCCATGCTCATTGCATCTCAATTTACAATAGCTAAGACATGGAATCATCCTAAATGCCCATCAACTGATGAATGGATAAATAAATTATGGGATATTTACTCTATGGAATACTACACAGAGATAAAAAATGAAATCTGGTCATTTGCAACAAAATGGGTTAATCCAGAAAATATCGTACTTAATGAAATAAGCCAGTCCCAAAGGGACAAATACCATATGTTCTCCCTGATCTGTGATAACTAATAGAGCACCTGAAAGGAAATCTGTAGTAGTGAAATTGACACTTTGAGAAGCAACCAAGCCCCTGTCTTGACTATCAAGGAAAAGTCTTTTTTTTTTCTTAATGGAGAATGGAACTGGGAATGGGAGAGGGAGGAGAAGGTGGGATGGGAGTGGGGGTAGGAGGGTGGTTAGGGTGAGAAGAATCACTATATTCCTTAAATTGTACTTACAAAATTTGTACTCATTAAATAAAAGGTTTCTTTGGGGAAAAAAATAGAAACTTCAGACTCATTAGCAGTAACTCCACATTTATCTCTCCCACTGGTCCCTGGTAACTACCAATTCCCTTATGATGCTATCAATGTGTCTAGTTTGGACATTCTGTGTAAAAGAATTCATCAAATATGTGATCTTTTGTGTCTGACTTTCTTCACTAGCACAATATTTTTGTTTCACCAATGTTCTGGTATACATTTGTCCTTCATTTCTTATGTCTGTGGCTTGGTTCTATTTCATTAGGTTGATATACTATATTTTATTTATGCATTCACGTCTTGATGGACAGCTGCATTTCTTCCACCTTTTGGCTATTGTGAATAATTCTGCTATGAACTTTGATGTACAAGTTTTTGTGTGGACAAGTATTTTGAATACTCTCGATATATTCCTAGGAGTATGATTGCAGAGTGATATGGAAACTCTATGTTTAACATTTAAAGGAACTACCAAACTTTTTTTTCCAAATGGCTGCACCATTTTATATACACATAGGCATTATATAAGGGTTTCAATTTCTCCACATCATTTTCAACACTCGCATTTTATAATTTCTCATTTAATTTTCAGACAATGCTATATTTAACACTTGATAATATATATACTATCATATATATTAATATGTAATTAATATATAATATATCAGGGCACTGAAATCCACATATATTAGGCATCCCACCCAAATGTCACAGTGCAATTAAGTGACTGGAGCCAAGATTCAAAATAAGAAAAAAACCTGACTTCAGCATTTGGATTAGACTTTTATACTGAAACTTTAAAGGAGGGGCAAACATTAAGCTGTAGCAGGTTTAGCTGTTGGCTATAACACCAGCATATTACATGAGTTCCAGTTTGAGACCTGGCCACTCCACTTCCAATCCAGGTTCAGGCTAATGTGCCTGAGAAAGCAGCAGAAGATGTCCTAAGTGGTTGGTGCCTGCGCCCATGTGGCAGACCTGGAAGAAGCTCTGGGCTTCTGGCCTCATCCTGGCATAGCCCTGGCTATTGTAACCATTTGAGTTGTGAACCAGTGGATGGAAATCTCTCTATCTCTCTCTTTCTGTCTCTCTCTCCTCCTTTCTCTCTGTAACGCTACCTTCCAAATAAATTAAATAAACAGACTTTATCTGTACAGTTCATTTATACCTTAGTGACCTGGATGAGGCAGTTGTTTATTCTAGACTGTCTAACTTAAAATTCTGGCATGGAAGAGACTAAACCTGGTTGTAGTCCTCAAGTTGTCCCCAAATTAACATCATGCGACCTCCCTACAGTTAATATGGGTTGTCCCCAAAAGATCCACATTCTGAAACTGCATTCTTCAGTGGGGAGATGTTAAAAGGTACTGAAATCTCAGGCTGGCGCCACGGCTCACTAGGCTAATCCTCTGCCTGTGGCGCCGGCACCCCAGGTTCTAGTCCCGGTTGGGGCGCCGGATTCTGTCCCGGTTGCCCCTCTTCCAGTCCAGCTCTCTGCTGTGGCCCAGGAGTGCAGGGGAGGATGGCCCAAGTGCTTGGGCACTGCACCCACATGGGAGATCCTGGGAGATCAGGAGGAAGCACCTGGCTTCGGATCAGCACGGCTCCGTCCGTAGCAGCCATTTGGGGAGTGAACCAACGGAAGGAAGACCTTTCACTCTGTCTCTCTCTCTCACTGTCTAACTCTGCCTGTCAAAATAAATAAATAAATAAATAAATAAGAAAGGTAGTGAAATCTTTAAGCCTGGGACCTACTGGAGGTAATCAGAGCATGTTGTCTCTGCCCTCAAGAGGGGATAATGTAGTTTTCTCAGCATCCCACATAGTTCCCTGAGAGCAGGGTGTTATAAAAAGAAGAAGCCTGGTCCCTGCATACCGCTGGCTATTTCACCATGTGGTCTCTCCCTTTCGCATATGGTCCCATCATGATGTCATCTACCATGTTGTAATGTAGCCAGAAGACCCTCACAAGGGCTGACCAGAAGCTGGTACCATGCTCTTGAATCTCCAGAACGTTGAGCAAAATAAACCTCTTTTCTTTATAAAGGATCTAACCCCAGGCATTTAATTACAGCAACAGAAAATGCACTAATACTTCAGTACGATTACTATTCATTTTCCCTTCAAATCATAGTTTTTGAATGGTCAAAGGCACATTTAAAAATGACATGTGAAGTATGAAAACCACACAATAATAAAACCCGTCTTTCTTGAATACATTCCCTGTTCTTCTTGCTAAGCCAAGTGCTTAATATATTTCATCTCATTAAATCTCAGCAACCTCATGAACAGACACTAGCATCATCCTCACGTACGTAAGGCTAATCTGAAGTGGAAAATATTTCAGTAATTATTTTCAAGATTATAAATGACAGAACTAGGATTTGATATCTGTCTCCATATATCACTATTACTGCTGTCACCCATTTTTTTAAAATTCTCAATAATGATGGTAACATTATAAAATAGTGTCAGAATATGGACAAAGATGGGCTAGCCCAGAAATACATCAGGATTACTTATAGGTGTTGCGATTGTAGATTTTCTTTTAATTAGCTTTAAAATTGCTATTAAATTCATACACAAACAAAAGGCATGCCTTTTGAGCCAACTATTACATTCCTGGGGATAAAATCTAGAGAAACATGTGCATATGTGCATATTGATTCTCTCTCACACAAATACTCTCTCTCTCTCACACACACACACACTTTGTGATCCTTTGGTAGGTCCTTTCTTACAGTCTTCTCCTGACCAAAGATTTGAGTTCAGAGCGCTGAACATAGACTGATCATAGCATAACTAAGCATTAAATAGTTTTACTTGCTCATTGATCTGATCATTCATGTTGTAGTAGTTCTCATTACAATTTACATACAGAATCATAGGCTTTGTTTAATAAAGGTTATTATGAAACAGTTTTACTTCACACTGCTTAATAACTTGCTCTGGTCCAGTTAGAAAGAATATTGGCATGCAACAAGTTGGATAGATGAAGTTGTTTATTTACAGACAGGCATGAAGGGACAACAAATATCTAGGATCCATTCAAAGCACTGTAAGGTCCTCCAAAGCTAAGGAAGCTGCCTTAAGTGGACAGAGTTTAAACTTCCCATGAAGGACCTGGAAATGTAGCCTGTCTCAGGTTATACATACTGGAATCATATGTCTCTCTGGTGCAGAGCATTGATAGACATCCTATTCCAGTGTCAGGAGCAAGAGAGTAGGACAGAGCCCAGGCTGTTCTGGTCAGCTCTCCCTTATCTCAGCGTGTTGCATTCCCAACACATTTTATAAATATTCTTGAGAACTACAAGTAAGAAATGGGGGGGAGAACTAGATCAGTCCAAGGCCACCCAGAAAAGCATCCTACACTTGTAATACATTCGTGGTGTTTGAAATCGAGCAGTGATATTTCTTTCCCAGGAAACTAAGCTGACACCGTATGCTCCATAGTATCAATGATATGCTGCAAGGCAGAGCAGAACAAGAAACAGTGCAGGGGAAAACTTGGGTTTTAGAATCATTTGTTAAAATTAAAATAATACCTTCAGAATATTATTGTGAATGGAAAAATATGCATACTATTTAGCACTATGGCTGGTGAATGCTAAGTTCTTAGAAAAGGTTATTGCTGTAACTGCCACTACAGTTACCTTGCACTTTAATAGTACTCATAAAATGTTTATCTCCCTTCCTATGCTTTCCTACTAATGACAGCTCCTCCTTACAGCCAGATACCAGGATATCACCTACTCTCTATTGTAAGGATTTTATTTTAAATAGATCCAATGTCCACAAGCTGTTCTATCCTCCAGTCAGCCCTAGAATTTATCCCGATGGTTAATAAAAAGCATTCCAGACCCAGATACTCACTTAGTAAGCTGTTAGTGGCACTGTTTTCTAGCAGACAAAAGACCACTCCTACCAGCTCTGTCCAGAACCCAGCCCAGCCTCACCATCATTTGTTTCAAAGCATTTACTTGATTCACAACATACATTAAAGAACCAAATAGATCCCTTGGGTACAAAGATAGCGATTGTCCCTGGCATGCTTCTCCCTGAACCAGCTGCTCTTTAGACTCCACAAACCCTAGAATGCCAAAACACTGCTCCTGATACATCACACCTGCTTCCAGGGCAAGTCACGCCCTGCACCAGCCAGGCTGCAGCTCCAGGCCTCATTTCACGATTCCACGGTGCCCAGATGAACTCTTGCTGCTTGACTAGCTTTTATGGATGTAGCAAAGTCCATTTGGTCTTGTTTTAATAACATCCCAATAAAAGAGCTGGGAAATTAGATGCTGGGAATGACATTTAAATCCTCCATTTCCCTTTGCTGCAATAATAGCCTTCTTGATAATAAAGTAGATAAATTTTATTAAATTATATGAAGTTTTTCCATTTGAAAGCAATTAAAAAATGCTTTCAGTTCAGAATTACAAAACTATTCACTTCAGATTTGAGGCTGACATTTTTATTGGTAATCTGAGTTATAACATGCTCAACTCTATGCCCATTCATTGGCCCCTGATACTTCTGCCAACTTTTTATGGTTTTATGTGAAAGTACAGTATTTAAGCCTCCTCTAAATTCATGAGCTGCCCCTGCTTCTGAAAAAGGCTCTCTCAGTGTCTCAGCAACGCACAACCAAGGCTGATGTTTATTTAAAAACATCTGCTCCCTCCTTTGTGGTATAACATACCAAAGTAGCCTGACGTTTTAAATACTTTTGCTTTACACTTCGTGTCAAACAACGAGAGAACGTAACTACTTTTGTGATGAAAAACTGTGCAGGGCAATTACAAGATGATACAGTAAGTGGACTAAATGGTACCCAAAGTAATCAAAGCAAAACACTGGGATTAGCCTGAATGCTGCAAAAGCCCACTTGATGGAGATTTCTAGCTCCCCGAATATCTTCCTGATTATGCTTTGCATCTCAGTGCTTCCTAATTGATAATGAAAATAGTCCTCTGTTATTTAATTCTGTAGATAAGAGAGTGAATTTTATTTTATTTTTTCAGTTTTGACAAATCAAGACAACAAAAAAGCATACTATCTCCACAGCTGGCCGCCTAGAGTGGCTGAGTTCTGTTAGTTTCCACTGACCCTTGATTGAAACCATTTTCATAGCCTTTTTTACCAGAACGTTATATTCAGTGTACAAGTGAATCGATGGTGTGAGAGTAGTTTTGTTTTTGTTTGTCTTGTTTTGTTTTAATTTACTTAAGTGCATAGGAATCACTTAACCACCAGAATGTTGCCCAGGAGAGACTGTGTCAACCTCTGTAACAATAGGATGGCTCTTTCTAGAAAAACAGGTGCCTGAAAAGTTTCTATCGGTGAACAAACACACTTTCTTTCTTTTTTTTAAGATTTATTTATTTATTTGAAAGTCAGAGTTACACAGAGAGAGAAGAGGCAGAGAGAGAGAGAGGTCTTCCATCTGATGGTTCATTCCCCAGTTGGCTGCAACAGCTAGAGCTGTGCTGATCTGAAGCCAGGAGCCAGGAGCCTCCTCTGGGTCTATCATGTGGGTGCAGGGGCCCAAGCACTTGGGCCATCTTCTACTGCTATCCCAGGCCATAGCAGAGAGATGGATCAGAAGTGGAGCAGCTGGGACCCGAACTGGTGCCCATATAGGACGCTGGTACTTCAGGCTAGGGCGTTGACCCACTGCGCCACAGCTCTGGCCCCCAAACACACTTTCAACACCCACTCACACGCATACATGTCCATTTAAAAAAATGTTTTCTACTATAGATTGGGCAAAAGTAAACCTCAGTTTAGCCTCTATTGAAAACAGATTGCAAATACCTTTAATCAAGAGACACCCAGGTGAATGGGCATGCTCTCTGAAGCAATGAAGACATTCAGAGGCAGTAAGTCAAAGATGGCCAAATTTCCTAAGCAGCGATTTGACAGTCACACCACACCCAGTGTAGAAGGGAGCACAGTTTGATTTCTCAAGCAGGTGGGAAAATAATTTCTCAGTTTTGTTGAGAATCTATTCCGCAGCCACTGAAGCAGAGGACACTGCTAGGAGGAAGCCTTAGACATCACCACAGCAAGGGGCATTGTCATGCCCTTGCCAGTCTGGCAGGGGTTACTAACCACAGGTTACTACAACGGCTCACAATTATGTCAAATGAATTCTCTCAGAGTAGAGGGTCTTAGGATGGGAAATGTTATTTGTGACCTTTTAATACTGTGGCTCACTTAGAGTCATAAATCTCCTTCTCTGATCACACCAGCCTACCTTGTGAGCACACAGGCCTCTGACTGCCCTCTTTATTAGCTTTGTAAATGGGGTGATGTGTGAGCCTCTGTCATGGTGCTGACTTTGTTACAAAGTGTAAAGGGAACTCCCACCCACCCGTGGGCCAGGAGGCGCCCTAATGCCAAAATACATCTGTTTTATGGACATTCGGCAGGAATACTTTAGCCAAAGCCAAAAACACAATTATAAATCTCTACCTGCTGCCACTCTCCACTGGACTTTTCCTTCAATTAAATGACATGACAGAGCATCCCCCATCATGAAATCAGAAACAAAAACAGAAAAGGAACAAAAAAAATCTTACTGACCTACATCTCACTCTAGCTACCTCCATATTTCTGTGTTGCTCTTTATAGCAAAACCCTAAAAAAGAAATAGTCTTTATTATGGTCTTCATTTCCTCTCCCATATTTCCCTTCAATCACTTCAATCATGCTGTTGTCTCTACAATCATTCAAAACAGCCACCAACAAACTTATTGTAGACAATTTCCTTTTTTTAAAGATTTATTTTATTTATTTGAATGACAGAGTTACAGCGAGAGGTAGAGACAGAGAGAGGTCTTCCTTCCGCTGGTTCATTTCCCAGACGGCCACAATGGCCGGAGCTGTGCAGATCTAAAGCCAGGAGCTGGGAGCTTCCTCTAGGACTCCCAGTGGGTGCAGGGGCCCAAGCACTTGGGCCATCTTCTACTGCTTTCCCATGCCATAGAAGAGAGCTGGATTGGAAGAGGAGCAGCCAGGACTAGAAGTGGCGCCCATGTGGGATGCCAGCGCTTCAGGCCAGGGCTTTAACCTCCTCACCACAGCGCCAGCTCCAACAATTTCCTTTTTAAATCTTTAACATTTATTTAATGTATTTGAAAGGCAGAGAGAGAGAGAGAATATGAATCTCTCATCCACCAGCCCATTCCCAAATACCTGCAACAGCTGGTGCTGGGCCAAACTAAAGTCAAACTAAAGTCAAGTGAACTCAATCTGGATCTCCCATGGAGGTGGCAGGAACTCAAGGCCTTGAGCCATCACCTGCTGCCTCCCAGGGTGTGCATCAGTAGGAGGCTGGGATGGAGAGCACAGTGAGGACTAGTCTCAAGTACTTCAATTCAATATAGGGTGCAGGGGTCTCAAGTGGTCACTTAACTCTCTGTGCCAAATACTCACCCCTCCCATTTTCCTTTGTTTATCCCTCCTTAGACCCTCCAACTTCTAAACACTGAAGCATCGAAGTGCAGTTTTAAGACCTTACCTCTTATCTATCATTCTCTCTCTCTAGGTGATCCCATCCAGATCTAAAATCTAAAATCTCAGCGACACTCTTTGTGTTGTTAACTTCCAATGTATATCTTCAGTCCAGATGGCACTGAGAGCCAACGCCCCAAAGGCCTCCTCCGCACTCTCACCTGGGGAGTCCAAGGGCAATATCAGACTCAATCTGTCCCCATCTAAAAGTGGCAATTCCATTCTGGCATGCCAATGCCAGATAGTTCCTTACCCCCATAAAATTAAGGTTATCCTTCACTCCTCTTTTGGTTTCATGACTCAAGTTCAGTTTCTCAGTGAATTAGCTGGACTCTTTCATCAAAGTATTTCTAGAATCTACTGCCTTTTCCAATGCTACTTCAGGCAATCATCATGTCTCAGGTTATTCCTAAAGCCTCCTCATTGAACTTCCAGCCTGTACTTGATCCCTAATGTATATTCTTCACAAACTGATGAAAAAGACCCTTAAGAGAAGCAATTAAACTACATTTAAAATAATCATACAATAAAACAGACTCTTGGTACCCACTGTCATGATCCTGATACCCCTATAACGAAAATGTTCCAATAGCTCCCTAAAGTCCTCATCTGGTTCTCCAAGTCCTCTGTGATGTGGACACCAATTACTTCACTGCTCAGCTTCCTCTCTCCACCTGTTCTACTCTGATCTGGCACACTGAGTGCCTTGCTCTTTCCAAAACTCAACAATCAGACTCTCATCCTTTTCATTTCTCTGCCTACAACGCTCATCTACTGAAATACGGAAACATGCACTTCCTCTTGGGTATCTCAAATAACATGCTATCAGAAAATTGTTACCTAACCATCCTATCTAAGGAAGAACTCCCAGCTCTCTGTGCTCTGTACTCCACTGGACTTCCCTTCCTTATCACATTACCTGGACCACCATTTACATAACCTGTTTACCTGTGTACCATTCTCGCCTTCCCCATATGCATGCCTAATGAGGGATAAATTTATCATGCATTGCCCTATCCCATTGTCTAAAATAGTATGATCCACATAGTATATAGTAGTATTCAAATGTATTATAGTAGTATTCAAATACATATTTATATATTTTCAAATATATATTTGATATATTTATATTAAATACTATATTAATATATTTATTGATATATTTATATATTATACTGATAATTATATTTATATATTTCTATTAAATGTATATTTTGAATACTATATATATCTATATATATATGAGCTCATAACTCATTCATTCCTTACCCAGTAAAATATGGAATCAGCAGACACTAGACAAGCAGTAACTTTCAGGTCACTTTATGGTAGCTTTCATTTTGCAAAGTTAAAAGTTATTTTCTCAGAGGAGAAAAAAGTTATCTGAGCAGGCAAGCTACAGCACCTATGACAAAAATAAGGAAAACTTAGGAGTGCAGGGAACAGTAGTTTATACATTTGTTTGATAAACAAACTGGGTGAGAAAACAAGTTTGCAAAAAGTAAACAACTACCATATATGATGGACGTCATTTTCCAATGTAGGAAATCTATTTTAGAAAAATCATCTTCCTTTTAAATAAGATGTATGGTTCAGATTCTCCCCTGAGTGGTACCAGATACCACCTCCACCCACAAACCTGGGGAAGGCTCTATCCAAGCCAGTTTAAGCTTTAGAAGCAGCCTATTGGGACATGAGTATCTTCTTGAAGGCACTAAGTCTTCAATACTCCCACTTATGAACATATTAACACATCTAATTCCTAACATCTTTCTTTATATATTAAAGCATTCTCTTCTACACTGATGTTCTACTCCTGATCCTGATGCTGCAGAACTGCAACATAGACTCAATACCGTTTGTGAGTGGTACTTTCGGTACTCTCACATAAAGGGAAGCAAGATGGGACCATGTCAAGAGCAGATTTTAAAAGCAAGGTCAAGGCTGGCACCACAGCTCACTTGGCTAATCCTCCACCTGTGGCGCCGGCACCCTGGGTTCTAATCCCAGTTGGGGCGCGGGATTCTGTCCCGGCTGCTCCTCTTCCAGGCCAGCTCTCTGCTGTGGCCTGGAAAGGCAGTGGAGGATGGCCCAAGTGCTTGGGCCCTGCACCCACATGAGAGACCAGGAGGAAGCCCCTGGCTCCTGGCTTCAGATCAGCGCAGCTTGCCGGCTGTAGAGGCCATTTGGGGGGTGAACCAACGGAAGGAAGATCTTGCTCTCTGTCTCTCTCTCACCGTCTAACTCTGCCTGTCAAACAAAATAAAAGGCAGGTCAAAACATTCAAGGTCTACTAAATCATAAAAGTACTTTCTCAAAGTCTAACCATTTTTTAATGCCCCAAGGTTTGGCTTTAAACATCTTGAATTCAAACCATGAATCTGGAAGCTCTTCACAATAAGACCTTATTCAATATTCTTAGCTCTTTTTAATTTTTTGTTTATATAAAGGGAACAAATTTCATGTATGTCACATACAGTCTTAACTACAATGATACATTTCACCCTTCCCTCCCTCCTTCATTGCCACGCTCCCTCCTCCTTCCTTCTATTAATTTTTAAAATGGCTGGGCCAGCACAGTGGCTTAGCAGGTAAAGCCGCTGCCTGCAGTACCGGCATCCCATATTGGCACCAGTTGGGGAACTGGCTGTTTCACTTCCGATCCAGCTCCCTGATGATAGCCTGGGAAAGCAGTGGAAGATGGCCCAAGTCCTTGGGCCCCTGCATCTGCATGGGAGACCTGGAAGAAGCTTCAGGTTCCTGGCTTTGAATCGGACCAATTCCAGCCGTTGCGGCCATTTGGGGAATGATCTGATGAAAATTCTCTCTCTCTTTCTCTCTCTCTCTCTCCTTCTCCCTCTCCCTCTCTCTCTAACTCTACCTTTCAAATAAATAAAAAATAAATCTTTTTTAAAAAATACTTATTTCCTAAGTTACAGTTGATTTGTTTATTTATTTTTATTTGAAAAGCAGGGTGACAGAGAGAGGGCAGAGAGAGAGAGAGGAAGAGAAAGAGAGAGGGAGAGAGGGAGAGAGGGATAGAGGGAGAGGGGGAGAGAGAGAGAGAGAGAGAGAGAATCTTTCATCTGCTAGTGCACTCTCCAAATGCCCCTAACAGCTAGGGGTGGACAAGGCAACTCCATCTATGTATACCATGTGGGCAACAGGGATTTAAGCACTCGATTTTCCATGTGCTGCCTCCAATAATGTGCATTAGCAGGGAGCTGGATCCAAAGTGAAGGCAGAAGGTGATTCCAGGACTCTGAGATGAGATGCCAGTGCCCCAAGCTGCAGCTTAACCTACTGTACCACAATGCTCACCCCCCCCGCCACACACACACTGTGGTTTTTAAATAAATGGCAATCAAATTAACTCTGAAAATTGTTATATGTACGAAAAAAAAAAAAACTTTCCTGTAGAAGTTTTAGTCTTATAGTTGAAACACAACTGTGGATTTTGGACAAATTCAGACTACTTTTTTATCATATTTGTGGTCAATAAAAAGAAATAACTGCAATTTTAGCTTTTACCTTCTCATGAACGTGTTTACAAACTAGAACCATTTATCAGGTAGCTTCTGCTCATATGACCAACACAGCAAGGAGGCATCTGTTTAAAAAAAAATGACAGGCTTGAGTACATACTATTTACTATGCCCTTTGATAAGCAGGCCATCAATTAGTATTTTGATAATGGGAAAAAAACATAAAAGTGTTATCATCTTTTAAGTAATTTAAGGCTTATGAAGGACTTTCACATCTTGCTAATCCACTTCAAAGATTTTATGGTAGGCTTTATGAAATGTCTCTTGATTAGGTTGACTCAAAAGAAAAAAGATGTTCCTAGATGTGGTTTATACAGCTCTCCAACAGTCATTTTAAAGCTGAAATGCCTTAGAAGGAAAACAACATGTGATGTTTAAAAACATGATCAGAACAAAACAGTTGTTCTTTATAATAATCCTACCTGAAAATTACAAGGGAAGGTCAAGTGAAGATCAATAAATCAATTCACTGATCCAGGTCTAAGAGGCACTTGAATCACACTCTTAAATTACATGAACAATATTTATTCTCCAAACTTAACTGAATAAGCGTATATGCTTCCAGGCCTTTCAAAGGATATGAATTGGATTCTTAAGGATATCCAAGATAATTTGACCTCAGCATATTGAGAAAGAAAATTAGCTCAAATGTCCACCATGTTTGGTTTCTGCCCTCAGAAAGGCACGTGCTACACTCAGTGGGAACTGTGTGGGTGTGAAGGGAGAATTGGCCTGGAATAGTTACACTTTTATAATCTTGAGCACACTATTTCATTAAATGTTTGGTTTCTTCTAACAACTACAAATGGCCAGAAAATTTCACTTCATTTTGTTTTAATTTTGCTGAATGGATAGGTGCCAAGTACATAGTTTTCATGATCTACTAAAAGTGTCATTACTTAGGATGGCCCAGGTGCTTGGGCGCATGCACCTGCATGGGAGACCAGGAGGAAGCACCTGGCTCCTGGCTTCGGATCACTGCAGTGCCAGCCGTAGCATCCATTTAGGGAGTGAACCAACGGAAGGAAGACCTTTCTCTCTCTCTCTCTCTCTCTCTCTCTCTCTCTCACTGTCTAACTCTGTCAAATAAAAAAAAAATTTTTTTAAAGTTTCCTTACTTTTTTAGTAAGTTAGTCCAAACAGCAGAAAACATGATTTAAAAAAGTAAGCCATGACTAAATTGGATATTGATCATTTACCAGAAAGATTACCTTTCCTATCTTTTATTTTCATATGTAGAGATTTTACTATTAACTAGATACTAAAGTGATTTATCTACCTTGGTAACAAGCCAGACAGAAATATTTAAATTCTACTCTTGGAAGTAAGAATTATCTAATCATTCACAAGCTCTTATAATAAAACATCTATCATGAGCCATTAATCCATTAGGACTTATTTTCCATCCCATCCTTTCACTAGCACCTTACTTTGAACATAGTCAAGTTTGGCTGAAATCTTTCCTTTTATCATATATCATAGCTAAAGCATGGGATGCACCAGAGTTGGATTCCAAAAACCCTGCACTCTGCTTGAACTTGGCACACAGAGACTCAACTGGTGATTCCAGGACTAAGACTCATCCAGGCTCAAAGCCTGAGGATGCACTTTGATCCTGAGATACTACAATGTTGGGAATAGAGGATTGCAGAAGAAAAATATCTCATCACAACATTATCTCACAGAGGTTTAAAAGTGATCTTTAAATTCACAGGGTTCTCTTCTGGTGGTCTTCAGTTCATGGGTAAAATAGCTGCCTTGCACAAGTATGGCACTCTCACCCCAACACTTCCACTTTCTACTTTGCACTGTTAAGACATGGGAACCTTCTCTGGATAGACCTACCCTACTGACGCCAGTGTTGTGACAGTGGGTTAAGACACAGACTGTGATGCCAGCATTTCCTTATCAGATTGCTGGTTCCACTCCTAGTTGTTTCTCTTTCAATCCAGCTTCTTGCTAATGTATCTCAGGGAAGATGGCCAAAGTGCTTGGGCCCTACCACACATATAGTAGAGCAAGATAATGCTGGCTGCTCCTGACTTTGACCTGTGTCAGACTGGCTGTTGTGCCCACTTGGATAGTGGACCAGCAAATGGAAGATATTCTCTCTCTCTCTCTCTCTCTCTCTCTCTCTCTCTCTCCTCTCCCACTTCCACCAATCACTCCACCTTTAAAATAAAGAAATAAAACGAATCTTTAAAATAACAAAATCTACCTTGTTGTATGCAAAGCCCCTGTTTTTTTGGGAATAAAGGACACATATCTGCAGTTTCCTATTTAATAATAAACTACATTTACTCAGAGATGACATATATTGAAAGAATAGCATGTAAATACAAATTGGAATCAAATCTGACTTTTGATGGCCCAAAAAAGTAGTCAGTCTTGCAAGAGGCAAGTAAAAGATGCTGCACTAAAATAAAAAGATTGGGGTGGCACTATGGTGCAGCAGGTTAAAGCCCTGGCCTACAGTGCCAGCATCCCATATGGGTGCCAGTTCAAGTCCCAGTTAATCCACTTCCAATCCAGCCCCTTGCTAATGTGCCTGTGAAAGCAGCGGAGGACGGCCCAAGTCCTTGCTACCCTGCACCCACGTGGGAGTCTGGAAGAAGCTTCTGGCTCCTGGCTTCAGATTGGCTCCACTCCAGCCATTGCAGCCATTTGGGGAGTGAACCAACGGATGGAAGACCTCTCTTTCTCTGACTCTACTTCTCTCTTTAACTCTGTCTTCCAATAAATAAAATAAACTTTTAAAAAAGGAAATAGATTTGTTTTTTCAAGCAAACCTACTATCATTTAACAAAATTGTTACTTCTGAGACTCACTCAGGTAATGTTATGATGCTGGAGCTTGTGTTCAAGAGAATATTTAAGCCACAATCTGCTTGCAAAGTCATTCTTGAGCCTACACCAATGGTATGCACTGTTGCTAAAGCTCACATTATTTTTTATAATATTTATTTATTCATTTTGAAAGAGAGTTACAGAGAAGAAGATTGAGAGAGAGAGAGAGAGAGAGAGAGAGAGAGAGAGAAACTTCCATCTGTTGGTTTCCTCCTCAGATGGCTACAATGACCAGCACTGGGCCAGGCTGAAGCCAGGAGTTTCATCCAGATCTGCCATGGGGGTGCAGGTGCCCAAGCAATTGGGGCATCTTCTGCTGCTTTTCTCAGCCATTAGTAGGGATCTGGATTGGAAGTAGAGCAGCCAGGCCTCAAACCCAAGCCCATATTAGAATGCCAGCATTGCAGGCAGCAGCTTTACTGGCTATGCAAAAATGCTGACCCCAAAGCTCAAATTATTCAAAGACGATAAGAGACCTGCCTCCAGAAGGATGCTAACCACAAGTGTTACAAAGAAGAAACAAGTACAGAAGACAACTCAGAAGCAGAGAGGAATGAATGGATGGATGGATGGATGGATAGAGAGAGAGAGAGAGAGAGATAGATAGATTGATCTCCAAGTGACTTTTATGGAGAATGAATGTTTTAATAGGTGTCACATGCAATAATTGGAACTTTCTAGCAGATACAATAGATTAGTGTTTTCTTAAAATTTTCTATTTAGAAGACACCCTTTAATTTTTTCATTTTCTTTTTAAAATTTATTCATTTTTATTTTTTTCAATTATTTGAAAGGGAGAGGGTGAAAGAGGAGGAGAGTGCTCCCATGTGCTAGTGCAGTAACAAAATGAATGAAACAGCCAAGGAGCTGAAGCTAGGAGCTCTATACAGGTCTCCTTCATTGGTGGCAGGACCCAACAACTTGAGTCCAACTATGTGAGTCACCACAAGCTACCTCCCATGCTCTGCAAAGCAGGAATATGGGATAGAGAGTGAGAACTGAGAACTGAGCACAGGCGTGGGACGGATGTCCTGACCCTTGTCTTAACTGCTGGGCCAGACTCCCACTATGTTTAAAACCATTTAATTGACAAATGATAACTTGTCCATAGTGAAGTAAAATGGTGATTGTGAAATAGATTTCACTGCTTACTTCTCTGAGAACAGAGCTCAACCACAATGGATCTGTTCATCCATAGTCACCTCTTGTTAACCATTTCATTGGTATCATCACATGCCATCAGATTTGAGCTGTAACACCAACTGTTACTTAGCTGCAAGGTTGTAATAAGAAACGACCCTGACGACATGTTTTATTTTAATTTAACCAGATTGCTTGTCACTTGTCAGTCAACTAAATTACTGTCAGTAAAATTCCAGATCCCTTCAAATTAACAAAGATTGTTCAAACAGAATAAGAGCACTGACCCAGTGTCAGTTAGGGTTCAAGTGATGATGACAGACAGCCAGACTGACTACCAGACTCTTCTATATCCTCCCAGACACAACGCACTGCCACTCAAGCATTAGAAATTTGTCAGTAGGCTTCTGGCTTGTCTCAAAAGAAATCACTGGACTTCCCAGGAGGAGTAATTCAACTAATGGGGAAGAGAAAGGGAGCTTGATCTTTGAGAAATGTAAAACCTTACTGTCAGTCGCAAAGGTGCCGTCAAGATAACAACCAGGAGTCAAGAGATGGGAGCATCACCATGGTGCTCTCCAGTCCCTGTGGGCCAAAATGGATCCAGGAAAAAACTTCAGCCTGCATATATGCACAATCAGCCTCAAAGAGGGAGGCTGAAACTCAAGAGGAAAAGAATGTGTACCAGATGGATTAATTAATGTGTTGCTTAGTTTGAAAAAATAAAAATAACATGTTTCATCTACACCACCAAAAATATCCATCATTAAACTGATGATGAAACTGTCACTTGCTATCTTATATTGGATAATTTATTATTAAATTATGAAAGTCTATTGGCTACTTTTCAAGAAATTATTTAAGCTTTTTCTCTCATTATTTCCTTTAAACCTCCTAACAGCACTATATGATAGGAATATGAACTTCATATTATAAGTAAGAAAACAGACTCAGAGATGAAAGTCAGTTTTACTGCTCATCTGTTAATAACTGTGACAGAAAGCTATTCTAGGTCTTTCTGATGACTGGGACCACTCCTCAATGACCAAACTACATGAACAAATATGCCCAAATTTTTC